CTAAAATAAATTAAAATATCATTTAAGAAGCTTGAGACAAAATTTTATTGAAATTTATGCTCGCCCTATGATAGTGAATATTTTTTTGCGTTTAGTTCATCCAATAGATTATGAAAGCCAACATATATTATTGGGTCAGAATTACTTCTCAGTTTTGCTTCATAAACGATAACAAAGTACGTAATTTGAATGAAAAGCATATAAATTAGATATTATACTGATTTCATGTCTCATATTGAACACCACGATATTTATCGAGATATCTACCTCAGAATAACTACAAGAAATATTATCGGGACACAACTGGAGACCAGGTTACATTTAACTTTGTTCATCACATTCCTTCTATGACTTTCCAAACTATCAAGGATGCACCACACTGCATCGCGCGCAGTTGCTTGAATGTCTTTCTGAGAAGTCAAGAAAGTCAATTGTTGATATGATACCTGACGTCCAACATAATCATTGATACATTAGGCTATGGTCTCGAGCCCATCTAACCTACATATGGCACGCATGTAACTCAGTAAATATTAAAAAGACTCGGCTTGCCTTAACTTATTAGAAATACTGCACGGTTGAGAATACCACCAGAGTTACCTTAAGCAAACCTTAGAGACTGAACTAAACAGTTCAATCTCGATATTCTGCCATCAAAATTGATATAAAAATTATTAATAATATTTTGATCCTCAAAAACTCATTAATAAACATGGTAGGGATGTTTTCTATGCATTTCTCCAGTGACAGAGGTAGAATCAATTCTCTGGCCCAACGTTTCCCCAACCTGGGTAGGGTGGCTCAGTGGTTACAGTTCAGAGTACCAAGATTGGCGCAGAGAGGTGCTGGTTCGATCCCAGCTCTGTGCGCCAGTTTCTGGTCAGAATCGGCAAGGAGGCCGGGCAGCAAAATTGTAGCAGTGAGTTGCGAGTTCGAGACCGCAAAATGCTGTGAATGTTCTGCGATGTTAAGAATCGGCGACAGGCCTATGGCCTACTAAACGCTGAAACGCTGATAATAACGCCGAAATGCATATAATAATAATATATGGAGCAGATCCCATCAAAATCAGTCAGTGATAATGAAGTTTGTTATGATAATATAACATTTTAACTTCGATCATACATTTTGCGCACAAATACATGGTTTGAAACTCACTGGTTTTCCTTACTTGTCTGCTAAAAACCGACATGCAAGATTACACGGCAGCAACATGCACTCAATTAAGGGAATGGGTCATAGTTTCCATACAGTGACACTATAGCCTTGTAGCACTGATACGCTCTTTTGCCGGACCAAAGTGGGTCCGGATGACCTGCGTAAGCGCAAGAAGTGTATCGCTATTATGACAAATCTTTCCCAATTTTTAGCGCATTTTCTCATCTATGGAAAAAATGCATTATTGTGCTCGCCATGTCCGTCTGTTTGTCTGTCCGTGACCTCAAGCTTTCGTCGACGAGAAAATGCGCTCTCTGTCACTCACTGCAGGGAGTACTGAGTTATATTTTTTGAGCGTGGCGTGTCTCCACGGCATAGAAGAGTCGCCGGCCGAGCCGCCATGAACAAGAATTTCTGGACAGAGAAAGAAGTAACTTGAAAACGATAACTTGAGACATAACTTCATTCGATATTATAATTATTGCAATAATTTCTGGACAGAGATGCCGGGTCACGATTTAGCGGGTGCTGCCTGGTGAAAAATGTGGCGAGAAGTCCAATAAATGGCGCGTGATTATCGAAATATGTATCTGTAATTTATTATACCTCATACGTTAGTAGTAGTATAGTATAATTGTGGAGTAAGTGCCAGTCATTACCCACACAGTAAAACAAGAATGGAAATGAAAGAGACTGGAACTGAGATTTTACTGCAAGGCAAATAACAAAAGGTGGGCTTTGAATATAAGTATTAAGATGGAAAAATAGTGTAAAGAATAATACCCTTGGCAACGTGCGTATCTGTTGAAGGATGAATCTAATCAGTGATCGTTGTTGAAGATGAATGAAGAGAAATAATAATACAATATAACAATTATTCATACAATAAAAAGGAACCTATTAGAGCTCAAACTAACCTGCAGCGGGGATCAGCCGAACAATAATGACTAACGAGAAAATTCTGTGCGCGACGTTAACTTCCTACCGGTGTTGCCAAGGTAAAGGTAAATCAATCTTATTACAAAATAAAAGTCGCAAAATGCCTTAACACTACAGAATATCTTCGGCATTGAAGAATAGGCCTGGATAGGCCGATTCCGTTGAAAAGAGACAAAGAATTTGATATTTTGCTTTGGATAATAGAAAGAATCGGAACCATTCAGTCAGTAAGGAATGATTAAAATCGTTTTCGATGATAAGATAAAGTGGCTTAGCTGGAAAATACGTGTTTGTCGAAAGTAGTGTTATTAAGAAGTAAATATATATTAAGTAAATTCTAGTCGGTAATTCGCTTATCATCATTAATGACAATATAATTTCTTTGTCTGAAGGCAGAATCATCCACCACTAAATAACAATAAGACTATATCACAATTAACTTGAATGTGGCTAGCCATTGAAGAAAATTGTGAAAATCGTAGCAAAAACAAAGAATCAGATATGTTGTCGAACTGTTAAGTTCAGTACACTTCAATGTACTGGATAAATATATCGAAAAGGGTAATAATATTCTGGGTTGTAGAGTGCAATAATGTTTTTTTTATCAGTAAACAAAAGTGAATTACAGCTGGATATGTATGCAGTTCAAGCTATGCGACCATGAATACATATTCTGTATATACACGTACGTCAAGCAATCGGCCCTCGCAAGTGCAAACACAAGTTAACAACAGAAACCTTACACGCCCCCTAAACCTTAGGCATGATATTCAAGCGGTAGATTATCTACACGGAAACAACATATAGTCTCGCCGTAGCCTGATTTTTAGAACTTTCTTGTAGGCTTCACTGAAATTTCCGAACCAAAGAATGCAAAGTAACATTAAGTCATTATTTATGGACGAAAAATCGATGAAAACGGCAGAAACGTTGAATGTATTACACAACACGAATAAATATTAAAATAGTTGATGAAGGACTAAATGTTGTGCAAATAAAAGTTGGCGTGAAATTTCATCATTTAATTTTTTCGTTAAATAAATTAAATTACCAAATCGTTAATGTAAGAAAATCTGACAGACACTTGTAAAGAAAAACCAGCACGCACGTTTTTCGGTGTCAAAGAAACGGAGTGCAAACATTTAATCGACATGTAAGCTCTCAACTGAGCTTTGAAAGAAATAAAAAGGAAATTAAACCTGAAATTCATCATAACAAAATGTTATTTTGATACCTAGTAAAGAAAGTACCTAATAGCACGACGAGAAATATAGCATAACGAACCGATATGAGCTGCAAAAATTCCATGCTCTTCATGAATAATTGAACCGTTCATAGTACTTACAGCAGAATCAATAACCTGACCCCTGTATAATAAACATTGATTGAAAAATCTATTAAATTGTCTGCGCGGATAGTTTTTAAATAAATTCATTCAATAGTGAGTGCATAGCGGCCTTGATAATTGGGAGCAGGCAGTTCTATTATAACAACACACCTGCTTTGATATATTGATTCACTCAAATAACATAGGTTTAAAATTAATTTATAAAATGTTTTTATATACCCTACGAACTAATCAACAGTAAAGTATTATATACTACATCATTGACGGAGAATAGGTTGAGTGTCTCAATACTTCTGCACAGGAACGAACTTACGTCGATCAAGAAGCCACTATACGCATAGACGTATCCGGTGAAAGCCGTGAATCTCTTACTAAAAGTAACCAAAAACTTCTTCATATTACGTGAGCACAATACCTACAGGTCCCCACGATAAGCGTCATCATGCTCAATAACCATCGCAATAATTATATCATTAAAGGTGGGACGATTCTATTTTTAACACCAGTCTCGGCAGTAGGACGACATTTAGGAATCTATAGACATTATAATGTCTATGAATCTATAGACATTATAACGTCTTGTTTGGTGCAGACGCTGTCTCTGACTTTAAATTTACACATGCTAGTACTTCTTGATGGAAAATTAAGGTAATTTTGTATAGATAGGCCAGAAGTTACATTTCAAGATACAATGAAATGTATATTTTATACATTTCATTACGCAATGAATACACCACATGTAACACACTTTCAATCTTCACACTGAGTTCAGTGGAACAAACCTGTTTACTTCAAAGAACATAAGGCATGTATCTAATTTATTATTTTAATTACAGATACTACAACATTTAGTGAAACACCAAAGTGTTTCTAAACACTCCTCGAAAATTGGATTGCATGGAACCATAACCGCTTGTTTCGCATGACCTAAACTAAGACAAATGTGTAAGACAACGATCGACATTGTAGGACTATATCCCAGATCCAAATGTCTAACCGAGTCCAATTATTTTGACGATTCTTACGACAGAAGAGGATAATTTTCTTGACAAAAGCGTCTTGGAAGATATCAATATCTTTGCTTAAATAATCGCTACTTCCTAACATGGGAGCTTCGCGTGATCAAAGTTATTTTATACAACTAAGCAGAAGCGACAATATTGTACTGCATGCTAAATTCACACCAAATCTCAAGCCATCCAAACATAAATTGAAAGCTTTCTGCAGACATGACAAACAAAGTTCAGAGTCTAATTTATTTCGCAGTTCAGGATACATTGCCTTTTTCGACCTCCCCAGAAATGAGGTTTACCATTGCAAATAAAAATTGCCCGAATTGTTAAATGGAAATTTTTGACTAACTTGAAAATTGACTTATAATGATTCATAACACTGAAGGAGCTTCACTTTTTGTCTTTCTTATTAGCCCAAAAACGCATGCTTCCACCCAAACATAACATTACCAGCAATCGGAAAATTAAATATGGAAAAAAGTAAACATAGATTAAAGCTTTGGCGATATAGTATTGCCGAAGCTTTCTCACATTTCTCAACTTTAATTCTGATGAAGCGACCGCCACAAGTTGGGGTGGAAGTTGCCACCTCCACCACCGGCCTCCACCAGGTAAGGGTAGAGACCAATCAGCTGACGCCACGTCAGAGCATCAACTGCCCAAACACAATAATGTTTAATTCCGTTACGCATACATTCGTTAAATGGGTTACATTTTACAACACATATATGCAATTTTTAGTTTGTGTTTTTCGTCAAAATATCGACATTCATTAAATGGGCTACATTTTACAGCACATATATGCAATTTTTATTGTGTGTTTTTTGTCAAAATATCGATTTGCCAAAATTAAATTAATTAAACGTATTAATTAAACGTAATTAATTAAACCTAAGCTACTTTTTACCATGGTGATCTGCAAATGCACCAATGCAAGCAAAGTCTACCGTAATTTATTAAAAACGTGGAAGTATCTCTATTATTTCGAAGCAAAACATATATAATTTTTATATGAAAAAAATGAAAATAATGAAAATTTTTATCAATTCGACGGCTTGCCTTTGTGAGGCGGCGCTTGCTGCAGGGAAGAGATGAGCGTCGCGATCGCCTGCAGCACGAAGCTCACCTCGGCCAGACGGTGGCTGAAGGAGGAACAATTGTCCGTAAAATAAACAGTAGCGAGTTGGTGATAACTTGTATTTCGTGGAGACAATCCCTTTCATAGCAATTTATATGAACCATCACGAGCGTTTATAACCTATAGTGATTGAGTCTCTAAATTTAAAAAATTAATCATTAATTTTAATCAAACTTGACGATCCACTTCAAATGCACATGTAAGTGGGACTTATAACAGTGGTTTATTATCGATGCACAGTCACAAAAGATGAGTTTTGACAGGCTCACGTAGCACTGAAATAAGTCAAATTATGAATGGAAAATAATTTTCCATTAAGTTAGATAACAGAAAGCGACTTTAGCTAACAAATCATTTGCTATTAAGTTAGATAACAGAAAGCGACTCTAGATAACAAATCATTGGTCATTAAGTTAGGTAACAGAAAGCCACTCTAGATCATAACAAATCATTTGCCATTAAGTTGGATAACAGTCTACAGAAAGCAACTTTAGATAACAAATCATTGGTCATTAAGTTAGGTAACAGAAAGCAACTCTAGGTAACAATTCGACATGACAACAGACCGAGGCAGTGGACATCCCCCAGATATGGCCGAGTCGTCGACAAAGCGACACAGCACGTCTTTGAAGCGGTGCAGCAGTGACGTGACCGCCAGTTTACTCGTCACGCCTCCGTCCCCAGACACGCCCAGCAACGGCACGCCGCTGCTGCTGCTTGTTAGGCTGTCGCTGCCTGAATACATGAAAATGTGGAGTTTATATGAATTAATATTAACGAAAATGGGTAATTTATATATCTTTATAGTCAAGAAAATTGATAATTTACATAAATTTATAGTAACAGCAATGATAAAACTGGCGCTCATGTTATTATGCGCTCAGATAAAATAATTAACATCTGTACTATCACCACAGTTGCACACATTATATTTACCCCGATTGTATTACCCTTGATATTAATGCAGTGTTCCCAGTAATAAATAACTTAGTCCCGCCTGTAACCTGTTTTCTGAGAGAACAACTCGCCGGAGGGGAGAAAATGTGACGGAGAGAAAAGGGCAAACTGCAGCAGCGTCTCGAAGCAGCACTTGGCGAACTGCTCCCTCAGTCTCCCACACTCTAGTTCTGTGGTGAGCAATATAAGTGAGTACAGGAAGAAGGAATCTTAGTTAAAAGAAGGCGAGAATATTAGTTAAGAGAGGATAAATGATCTTATTGAAAAGAAGGCGAGTAAGCTTAGTTTAAAGAAGGCTACGAATCTTAGTTAGAAGAAGGAGAGAAATCATAGTTCCAAGCAAATACCGTAGTTACTGCATTCAAAGAGAAAATTTACCATGATTATGAACTGAATTAGTCGTAGCTAAAGCGACTAAAGATTATAAAATTTAATTGAGATAAAAAATAATAAACCTAAACAAAACTAATTCATGTGAATAAAAATTACATTTAGTAGCAAACCTAGTGACAGGAGGAAGACGGGAACTATGAATTCACTCGTTTATTCAAAGTTCAAGATATCAGAATCTTGACAAGTTTTTCATTCAAGGCAAAGCACAGCTAGTTGCCCTCCACGCAAACAAAAAAAATTTTAACCTTAAATTGCCTTATTTTATTATTTTAGCTGCCATATGCAAGATGACCATTTCATAAATGCCCTAAACACTGTAATATATTGATTAAATTGTTCTCTTCTGCACAACTTTGTAAAAAAACCTCGGTCCCTGGGGATGATATGCCCCTGATTTGGGACCACTGCTTCAGATTAATGGTTCATAGTAATGGTCAAAAGGAATGGTTCAGACTTACGGTTCAGAGCAATGGTTTAGTGTTATGGTTCAGAGTTACGGTTGTTAGTTATGGTTCAGAGTTACGGTTCGTAGATATGGTTCAGAGCAATGGTTTAGTGTTATGGTTCAGAGTTACGGTTTAGTGTTATGGTTCAGAGTTACGGTTCGTAGTTATGGTTCAGAGTTATGGTTGAGAGCTACGGCTCAAAGTTGTGGATCAGAGTTATAGTTCACCAGTAGTTGGGGCGGAATGGATGGAGCCTTTGTTGAGCAGTATCATGGCCCCCATGAGGAAGTGTGGGGGCGTAGTGGTCGGGTGGGGCAGAACCTGCAACAAAAACGAAAGTTGTAATGCTAGACGTAATGCAGCCAAGTGAGCTCGGTAGAAATATTACGACTAAGTAAAAGACTAATAATATTATTAATATAAAAAGAGATTATCCATGTTTAATCAATACTAATCAATTACCATACTACTACGTCGGATAGATACATTAACACAAGATGACGAAAACAAGTTGTTTATTAAATAACCAGACAAAAACTTTAATGAAAGTAAAAGTTTTTAAATGACTTGTAAACAGCCTACACTGAATAAAACTTCATTAGCAACTATCTCCAAAGAGAAAATATTTTATGAGGATATTAAAGCGAGGTCTCGACAGCAGAATATATGAGAAATCGCCATTTTCGATAATATAGGTACGAGTTTCATCACGAAGGCCAACAGTGAATATTATTAAGAAATGCTGGTAAGTTTATTATCCTTCTACAGCAAATACGATTATACCAAGAGTGATTATAACATGAGTGAATATACCACGAGTAATTTTATCATAATTTACTGTGCCACAAGTGATTAAATCATGATTGACTATACCATAAGTGATTATATCATAAGTGATTACACCATGAGTGATTACACCATGAGTGATTATATCATGAGTGATTATATCATAGGTGATTATATCATAAGTGATTATACCATGAGTAATTACACCATAAGTGGTAATACAAGATTATACATCACCTGCTCCTGCAGCAGCTGCACCACGCGGCAGTCCAGCTCCTCGTCTGCCTCGGCCTCCTCTCCGCTCTGGTTGGGTGGCGGTGGACTGCAACCAAACCATCATTAAATGGAACAGTGGTGATAGTAATGATCATTAATGGGATTAGAAACCGTTACTAAACACAAGAAGTGAATCAAGAAATTTAAATGTTATTGGCAGTCCAAAAAATTAGCTCGAACAGAAATAAACTAGCTTTTTTAACGGTTTCAGCAGTTATATTAACATCTTTTTCAACCGTGAAATAATTAAAATATGTGTATTGTGTATGAACAAATAACATAATAAATAAATATATGTAATAATATCTTTAAAATAATATATGAATTATAAAATAAAATAACACTGAAACATAAAAGAAAAGAAAACTATAAATATGGAAATGGATAAGATTAAACCTTGTAGAGAAGAGGAAGCCATCGAGCGCCGTGTTAAGCGTGTTCCAGAAGGACGCGTGTTGCTGGGGGTGTAGGCGCGCCAGAGGCAGGCCTGTCTCCAGCACCGTGAGCAGGGCGCCGATGAGGCAGCGCCACGACCCGCACAAATACTTCAGACTCAAGCCCGGCGAGCAGCACTGCACAAAAAATATACAATATTATTAATGATGCAATTATAATTCAAAAACTGAATTTTTACAGCGATACCAAATAGATCAGTAGAAAATAATTTTACAGACGATCCTAAAGCCTGGCAAGCAGCACTGCACAAGAAATAAGAAATACACGATATTATTGACAGGGAATAATAATTCAAGAACTGAATTGATACAGCGATGCAAAATAAGTCAGTAGAAAATAATTTTACAGACGATCCTAAAGCCTGGCGAGCAGTATGGTACTGCACAAAAAATACACGACAGTGTTCATGATGCAATTATATTTAATACAATATTATCAATGATGCAATTATAATTCAAAAACTGAATTGATACAGCGATACCAAATAGGTCAGTAGAAAATAATTTCACAGTCGATCCTAAAGCACGGCAAGCAGCACTGCAGAAAAATATTAATTGGAGGCAAATGACACTTCATCACTTAGCTTGATTTAGTGATGTAAAGTACTTCATTGGAAAAAAATTCCGTATACATCACCTCCTTAATAAGACAATTCATAAATCGATATTTAAGTTGATGCAGTGCAGCAAAATGAAAATACGTCAATGAAAAATAATTTCATAGATGATCCTCAAGTGCGGTGAGTAGCCGTGCGAACAATTGACCACATTATTAATAAGGCAGTTATATTTCATAACCTAAATTGATAAGGATGCAAAATAATTCTTTAATAAATAACTAACAGGTGCTAATCAAGTGAGTCCAGCAGCACTTGCAAGCATGACGAAAACTTGTCAGCTCATAATTTACAAAAGTGCAGGCTCTTGTCATATGAATTCTGGAAAATAACTTTATATTCAAAGAAATGTAAGCCGATGTGTTTGGCAAGCGTTCACCAGGCTCAATATAGGTGTGGTAGGCAGAATAACTATAAAAGGTTAAGACGCTTAATTTAACGCTTTAGTTTAAAGTTTTATTCGTATAATACCAGCGAGAAACATTTGTCAGAAATTTTTCGGCATTAAATTTTTGAAAAAAAAATTTCGGCCGAGAATCAATGAACGATTCGAAGAACGGAAATATCACAATAAATTCTGCCAGATCTTGTAGTGCACCCGACGGGTGTGAAGCCTCATGGGTGTGCTGGACATGGCTGTCCAGCACTGGCTGCCAGGTGGCTGTCACCTGATACAGCCTTACCGCCAGACCCAAGCCTCTTACCTGGACGATGTCTTCGAGAACATGGCTGTCCAGCACTGGCTGCCAGGTGGCTGTCACCTGATACAGCCTAGCTTTATTGCTGTATGGTCTGGTGTGGAGGCCGCCCCATGACGGCAGTTTATAACTATAGGTCGCGAAGTGCAAGAGTAATGAGAAGACCTGCGGCACCAGAGCAGCTAAGGCAGCGTCTTTAGGACCTTCTAATGTAGGAGATGTACTGGGCTCAGGATAATTCTTGCGAGAGCTGTTGTTGAGACTTGCGTTATCTCCGACATCTTTTCCGATGAAGTTGTTGTTTACCTTGTCGCAGCTCGTGAAGGCTGAGAGTGGTGGTGTTAAACAAATAATAGGTTACTTAACACACACGAAGTTCTTTTCAAATATTAAAAGTCAGATATCAATAGATTGATTGTAGTGTTCTGAAGCAACCATATAGGGAAGAACTCGAATCTATAACATATTCAAAAAAGTAGGAAAAGAGAAGCAGGAAGTCAATTTCGGTCACGTTTATATAGAGAAAACAATAATACTTAGAACGTAACACAATAGCAATATAATAATGTCGCCTTACGATGCTATCAGCGTACAATAAAGCCTTCGCATAATACAATAGTGCTTCTTTGTAATATAGTAAGCATAAAATAATATCTCCTATTAAAACAATAACGCCTCTTATCAATACAATAACGCCTCCTATCAATACAATAACGCCTATTAATACAATAATGCCTCCTTTATAAAAGGCAATAAGCGTACAATAATACCTCCAGCAGTGACGTGCATGAGGAGTGTACGCAGGACAGACAGAACGGCGTCCTGCAGGGGCGTGACGACGGAAGCGTCAGAGGAGGACGGCAGCACAAACGCTGCAGAGTCTGCAGACACGGGCACTGGCNGAACGAGAACCATTCTCGAGTTTTAATTCAACGGAGATTGTTACACTCTATAATAGAGAAGGCAAATTTGCCTATAAAACAATATTGAAATTTATCTAGTCAAACATGGCCTGTAAACAAGAATAAAAAGCCTAGTTTTCTCGAATTTACGGCCTTTTCAAAGATTGGTAAAAATAGTGTAACTATTTCAGAGCAGATATTCTAGCACTTCTCCACTTTCAAATGATTCCATGACCACTTCCAAATCTTGGCATCTTAATCGTGCGTGTACATTATCGTCTGGAGCTTTGCCTTACTTTCCATGCAGTGTTCCAGTTGGCCACTTCTTCTGCCTCCTCGTCAGGAGGCGTTGCTTTTTTCTCGGCACTTCCACCAGCACTTGCAGGGGCAGCCGAAGCAGCTAAGGAAGACGTGGAAGAGCTTACAGAAGACGTGGTAGGTGACGTGTCGTTGCTGACGATGATGGGAGATTGTGAAGACTGCAGCATCTCTTGCAGGGATTTCAGGGCAGCCAGGGATACCTGCACCGACAAAAGTAGCGTCATAAAGATTATTTATAAATAGAAAAGTTTAGCACATTTCTATCATTACCACACTCTTCTAAACTCACACAGCCTGCTGTTCGTCATCCAAAAACTATACCAATTGGTTTGGACATCATGGGTCAATAATTATTTCATTCTCTGGACATCGAGTTTTTTGTGCTACTTTATTTTTATTATTACTTCACGCTTTTTTGTGCTACAGTTGTGTGCTACTTAATTTTATTATTACTTCACGCTTTTTTGTGCTACAGATATGTGCTACTTTTATTAACCATTGGATTAGGTCCCTATTATATTTTCAAGCTATTCTTGAATGTAACTCATGTGTTACCTCGTTGGTGCGGCTGAGGGCGGCGGTGTGGATGAAGTCCAGCATGAGGGCCCAGGCTCGAGGATAGTCAGGCAGACCGAGCAGCAGGTGCTGCTTCGTGCTGAACACGCGCGCACAGCCTGACAACGTCAGCACCTGCGAACAATTGTCACCGTCAGCACGTCAGCAATTATTTGCTTTAATATAGTGTTCAAACGTGAGTTTTTCTACTATAATAATAATAGTGTATCAGACGACAATTCTCGTACAAGGAAAAATGAAACTACAACGAAAGGAGTTAACTGTTGAAATAGCGTGTCATCAGTGGGTTTTATAATACCTACAAACAATAATACGTATTATCGAGTTTACAAGAGGCAAATAAACTGATAAATCATAACTTGTCAATCGTGTTTTAGGCTAGAACATGCAAAGGGAATCTTTTTCCGTGGGTATACGCTGCTTTAGAATGTGTTATGAAGGTAAACACATGGAAACAAAACCAGGAAGAAAAAAATATAACTCAGTACTCGCTGCAGTGAGCGACAGAGATCGCATATTCTCATCGACGAAAACGTGAGTCACGGACGGACAGACAGACGGACAGACATGGCGAGCACAATACCATAGTGCATTTTTTAAATAAATGAGAAAATGAGCTAAAAAGTTGTTATTTTCTGAACTGAAGTTAAATTATACCTGAGTTTCAGCCCACTGCTTCTGGTGGGTGTTGCGGCTGTGGTGGATGAGTATGTTGCCCACTTCATCCACCTTCTCAGTGCTCGCAGTGGCTGACAACTGACGTACTTTGTCTAGTAGTGGAAACAGTACCTTAAAGAGAAAGTTGTTTGTTACAGAAGTTTCAATATTTCTCAACTGTGATAACTTACAAGAGCCTGCAATTTGTTTTGTAATGGAAGCAGTACCTTGAGTACAAAGTTGTTTGGTACACAAAAATCTCAAATATTTCTTCGGTTTAGAAATATAATAACTCACACGAGCCATAGCGATATTTATTCCTCAAACTTGCGAGCTAATCGATCCTACTTCAAAAATTAATTAGTGCAAAAAACAATAATTCATAAGCAAGGAAGCCGCCAAGCAAATTTTACAAAAATTAATATAGGACGAAATTTTTCAACAGTGAAGCATATACCTGCCACAAGACAGCCTGCCAGGTAGCGTTGTGCAGGAGGGAGCCGTGCGCTGCGATGGTCGAGAAGAGAGTCTGGCCCGCGGACTTGCGGACTGCGGGGCGTCCGTCTACACACAAGTCCCCTGCACATAATAACGTTCCATACTACATTCAAATCAATTTATTTGTTTAGTCACGCATTAAACAATCATTTACAAATGAAGATCAAAATGTCAGTGTTAATAATGATGGTGAAAATAGTGAAGAAACGCAGGGCGTTCAACTACACACAACTCGCCTGCACCGATTAATGTTCGGTACTTCTATGAAATTACTTCATTTATTGAATAAGAAAATTAACAATAATTTAATAGTGAAGAAAATATCAAATAGCTCCACCATGTATTCTTGCACAAATTTTATAAGTCCTGCTACATCGTCAATTCAAAACTTCTTAAAGTATCACGAAAGTATAGTTGGATACTTTAAAAGCATCCTGAAAGTATAGTTCAATACTGTGAAAGTATCATGAAAGTTTGATACAGTACAAACAATCTCGTACGTTCAGTCAGATGTGTAAGCAATAGAAACAATTAACACCAGTAACAACTCATGATGAGGTTTTCTCTGTAGTATTAATAGTTGATTAATTTCTAGACGCAAGTTGTGTTGCGCGAGAATGAGCCAAGTTATATAACGAGGAAGAAATATTCCAAACCAAACGTAATTCAAATTTAGAGAAGTTAGAAGAACCTATGCTATTTTTAAATAACAATGAGTTATACGCTAATGTAAAATTCGCAATAATAACGAAGGTTTCATCCTATTTTGCTATTTTTAAACAACAGTGATCTATAGGTTGCTAAAAATTTCCTAATAATAACGAAGGTTTCATCCTATATTGCTATTTTTAAACAACAGTGAGTTATAGGTTGCTAAAAATTTCCTAATAATAACGAAGGTTTCATACTATTTGTGCTATTTACCTAGTCGGGCATAGAGACACATCCACAGCTTGTCAAAGGGCGGCATGTTAGGCACGCCAGGGAAGGCTGGGAAAGCTGGTCCCGTGTCACTGGTAAGGCAGCTCCGCACGCGGTCTTGGTTCTGGTAGAAGTAGTCGCTGATGTTCCACTGTCAAATATAATGTCAAGTCAGTAAACAACCAATTTGCTATAACAACTAAAATAAAATTTACCCCACCAACAAAAAGAAAAGTTTCTCCAACAACAAAAATAAAACTTACCCCAATAACAAGAAGTAAAATTACCAAAACAACCAAAATGTAAAATTCAATCCAGTGGAAAAAAATTTCGAATTTTAGCTTGAATGTTAACCCAGCACTTTTTTTTAAGAGGAATTAGTTATCTGCCGCAGGATAGAAAAAAAACTTACACCAGGTTACTCAAAACAAGATCATGACTATATTATACAGCTACAAAAGATTATGTGTATCAATTACTTTAAACACTTACCGGACAAAGTACAGTACACTCATCACTACGATAGGATACGATAAAACTTATCTGGTATGGACGTGCAAGCTAAGTCAAACCACAAGGGTTTCAGAGGTAAGAAAGTTTCAAGTTTGAATTGCAAACGAAACTCTGTTTATTCTTTGATCATAACAGAAACTACGGTATTGAGGGGAATTATTGGCATAATGACCATTGAGCCATACATACGTAAGCAATCAGTCTGTCGCCTACTATGGTGCCTCAATTCCGTAGGATTATAACGTTGTAAAATTATGCAGTCTGAATAGAGTTAAGAACGAGTTCGCTTGAAATCTCAGGATTTTAGCAGGATATTTACACTATACTTTCTTAATGCCTTTTAAAAGCAGAACATGAATAAATAGCTTTGCTTTCAGAATAAAACAAATCAAAATAGATTTCAAAAAAACGCATTCTGACGTGATCATTAAGTAGACTTACCATGAGTCCTATGGCGGTGAGGGAGATGTTCAGCTCCTGCGTGTGTTCCCCGAACTTGGCAGTGGAGGCAAGGACTTACCATGAGTCCTATGGCGGTGAGGGAGATGTTCAGCTCCTGCGTGTGTTCCCCGAACTTGGCAGTGGAGGCAAGGACTTACCATGAGTCCTATGGCGGTGAGGGAGATGTTCAGCTCCTGCGTGTGTTCCCCGAACTTGGCAGAGGAGGCAAGGACTTACCATGAGTCCTATGGCGGTGAGGGAGATGTTCAGCTCTTGCGTGTGTTCCCCGAACTTGGCAGCAGACGCGACGGTGAGAGGCAGACACCGCCAGGGCATCACAGGCAGGAAGTCTGTCACCACCAACTGCAGACACTGGAACGCCAGCCGCACCAGCGAATCGCTAAATAAAAACGCAAGAAAACGAAATAAAATCACTCGTTTCTCCATGACGCCGAGTTTGGTAAAGTAAACTATAACAAAGACGATATCAATGTTAAGAAAACATCACTGCATTGATGAGACCCCTGCCTGTAATTCATTAACACAGAATACCACCGTCAAGGTTGGTTAGTAGATTTCAATCTATATTTTCGAAATAAACGCAAGGAAATATAAATACGTACATAACTACATGTCTGAATTCATAGAAACTTCGCGATGTACGTGGAGAAAGTTATTCACCTGTTATTTTCATTGACAGCTGCAATAACAGTAAGGATGGTCAGAAATATAAATACGTACATAACTACATGTCTGAATTCATGGAAACTTCACGATGTACGTTACAGAACATCGCTCACCTACATCCTAATATATACTACGAATACTACATGTATACTAAAATATGTATACATGTAGTATTATACATGTATACTACAATAGTATACTACAATATATACGAATACTACATGTCTGAATTCATGGAAACTTCACGATGTACGAGGGAGAACATTGCTCACCTGTGATTTTCATTGACAGCTGCGATGACAGTAAGGATCGTCGGCCATCCGTGCTGCAGCTGCTCGCCGCAGCTGTGCAGCACCGTCAGCATCGTCTCCAGCTGCTTCTGACGCACGTCAGCATGGCTGCACGTTGACAGCTCTGACAGTGGCGACAGCAGCAGGGCTTGTAATCGCTGTAACAAAAATTAAAATGTTAAATTTGTGAAACATTTTGTAATCGTTGTAATAAATATGAAAATGTAAAATTAGTGAAACATTTCGGAGTTATCAGTGCATTGGTGTTATGTGGTTTGTGAAATATTTTGGAGTTATCAGTGCGTCAGTGATATATGGCAAATGAAATTGGCGAATGTGGTAGCAACAACGAAAATCGGCTCCGTTTTTAAAAGTGTTTGTTTACATTCTACGTCATTACTATAAATCAGTGTGTAATCCATAGCAAAACTAAATAGAATCAATATTAACTTTTTTCATAACGGTATAAATCATCATGGTACAAATATGGTACATTCTTATCTATATATTATATTAAATATGTAACACACCATCATATCACCCAAATTTTGTTCTAAATTCATAAAATTAACCCTTTACATAACGATACACTTACCGCATACACTAGACAAAGCTTAAAAAATTAAGGCCATAACATGGGATCTAAATTCGTCACGTGTGTTATATGAAATCAAATTTCCAAATAAATTTAGAAAAGGTCGGGAGTCTGGCTAAATATTTGTTACGCAAGGTAATTTAAATCAAATCTATTTCAAAAATCCAAACAAGATTTATTTCAAATGAAGTTCAGTAATTTTTACCGAATTTGTTTTTAAAATCCGAACAGGAACAGGCGTCTGACTAGAAATGTGCAACCTTCGGTAATTTGAACCGAAAATAATTTTCAAAATTCGAAACGGAACAGGTGGATGACCAGAAATGTGCAACTTCGTTAATTTTAACCAAATTTATTTTTAAAGTCCGAACTTGAACATATGCCTGACTAAAAATATGTAACGCACCATCATTTTATAAATATGATACATACTTATCTATGTATATATTATATTAAAAATATGTAACGCACTATCGTTCAATAAATATGATATATACTCATCTCGGTATATATTATATTAAAATATGTAATGCACCATCATTCTTTAAATATGATACTACATACTTAACTATATATATTATATTAAAAATATGTAACGCACCATCATTCTATAAATATGATACATTCTTATCCATCTATATATTAGGTATATTAAATATGTAACGCTCCATCATATCACCCAAATTTTGTTCTAAATTCATAAATGTAAGAAAGCTATGAACCTGATTGTCCCTGAAGGCGGTGCCAGCGTTGCCCTGCTTAGGTCTCATGAGGTGAGGGTGGGTCAGGGCGGTACGGACAAGGTGGGTCACGGCCTCCACGCCCCACTCACGCATCCTGATGTGTGGGTGCTGGCACACCTCCAGCAGGTGGTTCGTGATGGGCCGCCAGAACACTTCCACGCGGGATAGGTTCACCAGACCTTCCAATATATAAATATATAGATATATTTAATTAGATATCATATACAGATGTATACGAGAGATGTATACACATATACAGATTTCATTGAAGACCAGAGAATTTGTTTTATTCGCAATTTTCTTATTAGTTTTTTCAATATATCGAACAATATTTTTAGTTTGAACTGGCAAATCAAAAATCAGGTTACCGATGTACATATTTATTTCGTTAACGAGGACTTCTCTGGTTCTCTGGTCTTCAATGAAACCTGCTTGAAAGAAGAAATTCTGCCAACCTATACTAACATATACAGATGTATACTCTTTATAAAGATGTATAAAGTAGTCCGAAAAAAAAGGACTACTTTAAAAAATTTACTTATCTATCCGAAATCTTTTAGAATTTGCTGGACCGAACTCTAATTCACTTGGGGATTAGGTCTTGGATTCAGGGGATTAGTTCTTGTAAAATATTGATCTTCAGGGAGTTAGGTCGCTAATTTCACAATATTTTCTTCGGTGCGTAAGTGGAAGGACGACCTGAGCGAGGTTGATCGTCAATTGACATTTCCATTTTTTGAAGCGGAAAAAACTACTCATAAAGCATCATCCTTGTAGGATGTCTCTAGCATTTCCTACCCCGTTTTTCACAGAAGAAAGCAAAATTTGAAAGCAACTCGTTGCTCACAAAAATCAGCCATCATCAAAGAACGACGAGCAAAAGAAGTGTCCCAAAAAAATCTGCGATAATGGAACACGCGTCCTTCTAGGGCATCAGTGCGTGGCTCACTAACTGATGAATGTCTAGCATGTGCTCATACTCTGAGAATTCAGTACTATTATAACTTAGTCCATCACACAAACAGTCTGGTTTTTCTTTTTCGGGTCGTTCCTCGTGTTTAACAACTACCGGTATTAGACGTTGAAACTACCGGCATACACCTCCACGCTAAAAAAATACACCTATTAATAAATGTTGCTATCTAATTATATATGAAATATATATTATTTACATATCAACCAATCATTAGACAGCCTGAGAAGCTTAAGTATAAACACCTCTCCGCGAGATAGGTTCTCTAGACCTTCAAATAAATATAGATTTTTAATAATAATAGACAGCTTGATAACTAAACGATAAAAAAAGTTTTAAATAAATTGATGACAAGCCTCCTTTTAACCAAGCTTGGGCTAATTAATACTGCTAATACTACAATGTTCTGCCCTGCTATGAAGCAACATGCAAGCACTACGTACCAAGTTTCGCTATTTCAGGTACTACTACGCGATGAATCACAAAACATGGCTTTAAAATGCTTCAGCTTCACCTACAGCTCGAGTTTTGACTTATTTGTATTAGTTTTGACTTATTACCACGTTTTTCTTAGCTCGCTTTCGTGTCCGTCTGTCTGTCTGTTTGTGATGATCAAATCTTGCAATCGATATTTCACCAGCTTTCCCATTAGCTAGCGCTCTGAAACTTTTAGGGAAGCTCAGCTCCCGATGACAATACAATAATCAATAATTTGTTGCACGTTTCCAGGCGCATTTATTATCGAACCTTTCTTTATTACAGCCACGCACCCAGATAAATACGGGAACAACAATGTATCCCCTGGAATAAAATTTTCTACAGAACTTCGAAAAGAATTTTCTTTCGTGCATTTGCGTGGCCAACTGAAATAAAATGAATATTATGTAGGATGGACTAAAAAGGAGAAAATAAAATACTTAGCTGTCATAGTGATTACACCCACCAGCCACATATATATAATCACCATTACAGCTGTCATAGTGATTACACCCACCAGCCACATATATATAATCACTATTACAGCTGTATTAGTGATTACACCCACCGACCACAACTATATAATCACCATTACAGCTGTCATAGTGATTACACCCACCGGTCTCGAGGAGCTTGGCGACGGCGAAGAGGCTGGGTTCTCTGTTGGTGTAGGCGAGCTGCATGCTCTCAGAGCTGAGCTGACAGAGAGCGTCGATGAGATGATGCAGGGCGACGTCATCCAGCTCAGCTGACGACTCGAACAGCCGCGACAACATCGACGACAGCACGGGCAGGTCAGCGATAACTGCTGTTGTTATCACCGCGTTGCTGTCGTTGCTCGTTCGGTTTGCTTGCTGCACAGATTTTTCTTATTAGCAATCATGTTTGGTTCAATTCAAGCTAGTTTACTGTAAACTGCATAAAATTTCATGATATTTACAAATTTGCTTTGATTTCAAGCTAGTTTACATTAAACTGCATATAATTTTATTACACTTATAAACTAAATGCAGAAATAAATTAACTAAATGCACCCAAAATTCCCAGCCAATATCATAAATCATAATTATATTCTAATTTACAAGGAACTACAGCCATATTTTTTTAATTACACAGATAATTAAAAAAAAAAGTTTTAAGTTTCACCTTCAAACTACCCCCCGCCGCAGGTTTGAGCCCCAAGACCCAGACGAGATGCTGTAGGGTGGTGAGCACGAGATGCCAGGCGCTGCCTAGCACGCCACCGTGACAGTGAGCCAGAGACAGCACTGCTCTCATCACCTGTAGTACAATACTTATTATTTACTTATTCTACGCACATTAGCCATAATTATTATTTGTTATAATAATATTATGTTATCACAGTTTTTATCTGAAGATATAACTAGGCCAGAGTTTTACTAGGTTAGCATTGTTTTTGAGAACATTTGCATGCGCCCGAAAGGTTCACATAATGACTGGAAAAAAGTGGCAGCTTTGAACCTTACAGTGCTTCTAGGAGTGCAACATCTAAACAGGCAACATGATTTTAAGGTGATTATTTACTCAAATAAGTGATCAAACACCATATTATTAATTTGCTCTAATCTTGTAGAGATAGGACCTGAAGATTCTTGTTGGTGAGCATGACAGGCCCCTGCTGCGCTCCTGAAGGAGTGGCAGACGTGGCGAGCGCGCTGCCAACTGCCACCACTTGCTGCCGCACCTGCCCAATGATTCCTTGGTTAAATAATAATAGAATCTAAAATGAAAAGGCAGTTCCAATTTCCCTTGATTTGATTTTGAATAGCTTTAATATAGATGAAAGGCTCAGGAGCACAAAACACGCAAATCTTGAAATAAAGTCCTATACAAGACAGACATCTAAACAACACACTAGCAATGGGGCGCACCAACTAACTAGGATTAAATTTTATTCCAAAAAAATAGAGCTGCTCGAATCCTGTGTACGAACCTCATAATCGTGACGAACCTCATAATAGTGACAATTCTGAAGAAAATGCTGCTTGAATCCTGCGTACGAACCTCAGCATCGTGGTAATTCTGATGAATATGTTGCTGGGGTTTAGTGGAGGAGATGGTGGAGGTGACCCCCGAGCTTGGGGAAGACTGAGGTGTGTTGAGGACCGTCAGTGTGTAGTGGGGCGGCAGGCAGGACTTGCAGAGCGCCGTGATGAACGCGTCTCTGGGGGTGCTAAGGCCGAGCGTGCCGGAGATCCACGCCATGCTCTGGGGGTAAGAAAATGAGATGTAAATTAAGTGTTTAAATTGTATATGCTATCATCCACGCCATGCTCTGAGAGCAGAAAAGAAATAGTCCGTATTCAAGATTGCGAGTTTTTTATACCACATTGTAATTTGTTTATTTAGTCATACCAATAAATTGATTACATATCGATTGATAAAAATTATGCTTAGCTTCGGGAGATAATACCTGGAAGGCTTGCAAGATGCTCTCAGTGGCAGCTTCGTCGGTGCAGGCCTCGAGCAGCGTGCTGAGGGCGGCGAGCAGACCACACCAAGCTGACGTCACCAGCTGACTCAGCACCTCCTCTTCAGCTGGTGCTGCTCCTGGCATACCATCTGCAAAGATGGTACAATTTTATAGTTTCAAAGGTCTAAAATTTTTGAAGTATAGACATGACTCTGAATATGATCGTCAAAGGATTACCATGCTCTTATCTGTGCTGTTGAAACAGTTTGAAAGCCTGGCATGCAATTATATGGAATTCATAAAATTAAAATAACTTCGTTAATGTACCATCCAATTTTGAACCACGACCCAGTTTAGTAATTTACATCAACGTTTGAGGTTCATTCACTCGTTGCTCTCTCTTAGTCTGAGTCCCATCTCACAGCAATTAAACAGATAATCTTGAGATTTACAAAGAATTCCAGAGCAACGTGTTTAACTAAGAAGAATGGCATTGAAAATTTAGAACGAAATTCCAATCAATTCTCGCCATAATTCGTTCAGGTGCGAGTATCACCACCAAGAGTAGAGCTGGAACCCAGGAACAGTCCATCCTAGCAACATGTTTCATCAGAAGGAATTAAATAGAAAACCTTTAAATTTACTACGAAATTCACAACAAATATCACCATCCTTCGTCCGACAGCAAGTTTCACCACAAGGAATTGAAGACTCTACAATTTACACTAACATCCAAGGCAATTATCACCATGAAATCTACACCGAAATTCACAGCATACATCACCATCGTTTACACAGCAACGAGTCTCAGCACAAGGAATTGAAGACTCGACAATTCACTCTAAAATTCCAGGCAATTTTCGCCCATGAAATCAACAACGAAATTCACTACAAATATCACCATCGTTCGAACAGTAGTGAGTCTCACCACAAGAAATTGAAAACACTAAAATTTACTCTAAAATTAAAGGCAATTTTCACCATGGGTCGCACATCTGAGATTCTCACCACCAGGAGTAGAGCTGGAACAGTCCCTCCAAGTAACGTGTTCAATCACGAGGAATTAAACAGAAAACATGTTTAATCTTGAAAAGAAAACCTTAAAATCTATAACGAAATTCACTACAAATATCACCATCGCTCGACCAGAATCAAGTCTCACCACAAGGTCTTGAGATGATGACTACAATTTACACTAACATCCAAGGCAATTTTCGCCATTAAATCTACAACAAATATCACCATCGTTCGAACAGCAGCGAGTTTCATTGCTAAGTCTCACCACAAGGAATTGGGGTGATGACTACAATTTACACTAAAATTCGATGACAACAATTTACATTAAAATTTTTACCATGGGTCGCACATCTGAGAGTCTCACCACCAGGAGTAGAGCTGGAACTGTCCAGCTTAGCGACGAGCTTAGCCGCGCTGAGGCCCTCACACTTGGTCTCACACTTGAGGCCCTCCACGTCAGCGGCGGGTTCAGGAGCGTCGGGGGAGTCCCGTAGCGCCACTTCTACTTCGTCCGCTAGAAATACAAGAAATAAAATATATTTTCGAGATTTTTTTGAATTCCAACCATTAATAGTTAGACACATAAGAAATAAAAAAAAATTTTTACTCTTTTGCCTTTACATCCATACAATAGTAAGCCATACAAGAAATGAAAAACATTTACTTTACTCTTTTGCCTTTGCATCCATACAATAGTTAAACATAGAAGAAATAGAAAAGATTTTCTGGACTCTTTTAGTTTTCATTCCATACAATAGTTAGAAATACAAGAAATAACGTACGTTTTCGAAACTAGTTTGTTTTTCCATGAATATAAAAATTAGGTATACGAGAAATGAAGTACATTATCAACACTTGTTTGCTTTTCGATCCATAAGAAAGTTAATCACTTAAGTGACTAATCATGATAGTCAGACCCCATTCAAAGCAAGTATGCACTTGTTCGGTAACAAATTCACCAATGACGCTGAGTGTTGAAATCAATATAAAAAGTCCTTTAAAATAAAGAACAGACCTTCCATGTCAGGCTTGTGTTTTTCATGGAGACTAATTTCAGAAGTTGTGGATACAATATCATCAGGAACTGAGGCGTCAGTGACGGCAGAGAGTTTCACAGGCACGGTATCCAAGTCGGACGTGGAAACTGCAGCTTGTCTGGTATCGTTGCTTTCGCGTTCCAAACGCTCTGAGACGCGAACATGAGATTAATAAAATTTATTTTGATTAGATAATTTAAAGACAGTTTAGAAAAATTTACTTCAACTAAATCTAGGACTAAACGAGACACGGAGCTAGTTACTCATGACATTAAATTGGGTTTTATTAGCGACTCATATAAGTCAGAGACAGAAAAATAAAAATGAAGTAGAGTGAAAAATGTTAAAATAGCTTAAGATAAGGCAATGGCCGTTACCTTGCCTCTGTAGCAGAAGTCTTTGTATGGAGCGCGTCGTCTCCAGCAAGCAAAGACAAGCTAACGACACGCAGTAGCCGTCAGGGATCACAGGAGGCTCAAGCTTATCCACCATCTGCAGGCTGATAACAAATTCATTGTATTAACGATCAAGCACGAAATCAATTCAAATCTCTGATTTTTTTAGGCACTATCTCTAATAACCAGCCAATGTGTAATATTTTCATCCATAATTACACTACTCTGCTTTAGTTTCTGCTTCAATTAAATCCAATAGACCATTGAACATTTATTAGCTATATTCCTCAAACAAATTAACTTAACCTGTTCCAGTAGCAATCAGTTCGGTAGCAACATACAGAATGTTTAATTTTGAGAATTTTTCCACGCTTCATTTATCTCTGACAAGACAATTCTAACTGCAAGCTCTTAATTGTTGAAATAAGGTCTCTATGTGTGCAGCTAACCTATAAATTTAGGCACCCACTATACTACTTTACCGATAAATGAGGTACTCACAAAATTGCTTTACCTACAAATAAGGCACTCACTACACATTTTTAAATACAAATGAGGCACTCACTACACAGCTTTACCTACAAATAATGTATTCACTACACATTTTTAAATACAAATAAGGCACTCACTACACAGCTTTACCTACAAATAATGTATTCACTACACAATAGCAAGATGACGAGCCTGGAGTGTGTGTTGTGGTTGTCGCACTGCCGCTGCTGTTCCCAGGACCGCCACTCGCTCCACTGCTGCCACCGGACAGGAAAAGACTCTGTACAAACGCTCCCAAGCTGTTCACGATGTCCTGTAAGGTTAAATTGAATCAGAACGTTTATCTGGATAAATCAATAACTAGTTATTAAAACTCCACAGTACTATAGGGAAATTATATATAATGCTAGATATGAAAAAGGAGATCTGATTCAGAGTTCTTTAAGAAAAAAGTGTTGCCTCAGTTATATTAAATGGAAATTAAATGTGGGTAGTCAATATTAGGTCATTGAATCAGTGAACACGTCAAGAAACGCATTTTCGTTAGTAAGCCTTTTAGGAAGATATTGGAATCGGGCTCGCCAAGCTCCCGCGTATCCACTTTAGCCACGTTGCTACGCCGCCATCTTCGTATAACACTGGCGCCTCAGCTTACTCTCTCGTTCCTACACATTTGGACGTTTTGGTAGCAATGGAGAAAGAAACAACAAAGCAGAGAGGATTAGGCTGTTGTCAAAACTCCTTCCTTCAGTGAGAGACCGATATTTAAGAAAATTGTTCGACATTAACGATGTTGCTGCCAACGAAGTGCCGGCAAAGCCGTGATGTGCAGATTTTGCAAGCCTGCCTCCCGTTTAACACGGTGATTTACTAAACTATTTGGTGTTTGGTGGTCAGCCAATACACCTTGCAAGAATTCAAGGCATACAAGACGCTTGAAGCTTACAAACAATTTGTAGATGGATGGGTACAGGCAATTGAGAAACGAAACTTCAACGAATCTAGAAAGGCGATGTACCTGGTAGAGTTAGTTTGGTAGTACAACTGGACGAAGATAATGATGCTGATGAATGGAACTTTCTAAGAATGGAAAATGAAATTCCTTTTCACCATTTTGAAGAGGAAAAGGATAGAATTTTATCAATGCTTACCAGATAACCAGGGTTCGGACGGCTCATAGTAATACCGATCCCGATATTGGACGCGCTCATGTGACACCTCAGACCACAGAACTGACCAACAACACACCAATTCACCAGAAACCTCGACGTTTTGCAAAACCAATTTATATTGAAATTGAAAGGCATTTTAAAGAACTCGAAACATTTGATGTTATAGAGCAAAGCGAATCATTTTGATCTTCCAACAAACCAGCCAACTGCAACAACACTATCATCGCTGCAGGATAATGGATCATGATAATGTTATCTGATCTGTAAATATTATTATTACGTTTTATTCTTACTTATGTAGCTTATCTAAAGGCAAGTAAGAGATTTTGCCCCTGGAAAATGTAGAGTATCGTATATAATAAATATTCACGGCTAATAAACTGAATAAACGCATTCCGTTGTATAGTTTTCTGCTTAAATGGCCGTGAGAACGACTGGTACATCCTACAACGGAGCAGTAGCGTCCCATCTTCAAGCAAAAACTTCAAAAAGAGACGATCGCAGTAGATTTAACACGTAGGCGTAAGCTAGACCCTGCTACAAATATGGCGGCCGATCCCACAATGCATCTGGCGATTCGGTGCCGTGACGTCATCCTTTCGAGCCCGATTGACCCTCAGTTTCTCCTAAAGTGACATACATTTTACCCATATTCTTCCACTGAAACTACTTGCTATTAAACTTACAAGTCATTAAAATGGTAGGTATTAAAATAGCTTCACCTGACTTCCCTTAGTGATATTTAAATTAATTTAAAATAGACAGACTATTACATGATGAGGTTATCATCACCTGGAAGATATTAGTTGAGTGAGGACGGCAGTCATAATGCCTGGTGAACTGCAGGAGAAGGTGAGGCTGCGTGGTGAGGTTGTGGAGCACCTCGAGGGCGAGACAGCGCTGCCACTCTGGCCGCTCGTTGCACTCCAGGAACTTGACCAACAGCGACAGAAATATCTCACACTGTGTTACCTGAAACATAGACAGCAATTATTATCTTAATATATAGAAATTTCTCTTCATAAATTCATATGGTAAGCTTACCATACACGATGAAAAGATGAATGAAAAACAAAACTCGTATCAGCTGACAAATTTTTCTCCAAGTCAAACATCGAACAATTACTCCAACAAAGAATAATTCATATTGTAGTCTCTGCCTTTCATTTCAGTCACATAAAATTAGAGGCGATGACAGACGCAATCACTCACTGCAATCAATATTGCCACACTTGCAAAGTACATTTGTTCACTTAGTGGCAATTGGCTAAAGATCGAAGCAAATACTAAGATACAATTAAGATAACAATAAACAAATAAAAAACGATCCCATTACATGGGTTTCCTTACCAGAAGCGGATAATAGTGATGGATGAGAGCAGCAACGAGCCTGAGTAGACGCAAGGTAATCGGGAAGTAAGGCTTGTCATAGAGCACTGAGGGAGAGGAGTGTGAGACAGCACCTCCACTAGAGTGTTGAGTTCGGTACTTAATGTTGGGGGAGAACAACTGGATGACCAAGGCACACACTCGTTCCTTCAGCAGGTAACCAAACTCCGGGTGCTGAAGGACAGATGAAGCCGGTGATAAGTTAGCCTCACGATTGCCAGTGATAGCAAGTCTAACAGCTGCCAATGATAGCCAAGTCTCTCGATTTAGGGAACTTAAATCTTTATCGAGAAAAAGTGACAAATGATAACGTATATTTCACAAAATAATATCTTAATTGCTGGGCTGTTTTTCTACTGAGTTCAGTGCTTAGTGAAAAGTGCACTTAGTTTATTGCTTTGCTTTGAAAAGAGGGGTTGAAGAGATAACTTATTATTGCTATCGAAACGGGGATTAAAGAGGTAACCTATTGTAGCTATGGAAACAAGGATTAAAGAAGTAACCTATTGTTGCTATCGAAACGATGATTAAAGAAGTAACCTATTGTTGCTATCGAAACGGGGATTAAAGAAGTAACCTATTGTTGCTATCGAAATGAGGATTAAAGAAGTAACCTATTATTGCTATGGAAACAAGGATTGAAGAGGTAACCTATTGTTGCTATGGAAACAAGGATTGAAGAGGTAACCTATTGTTGCTTTCGAAACGATGATTGATGTTGCTTTCGAAACGGGGGCTTGGGTACCTTGAAGAAAATTTGAGGGAAGGTAGCTAGAACGCTCTCCAGCAGGTCCAAGCCGAACGTGCGAGTCATTTCTGTCAAACCCACCAGCCACATTGGCTGATCTGCGTTCACTAGTTGCACCAAATCCTGAAGTGAAATAGCCCAATTAATATACCATACTTACATTAAAAATATTGGGAACATAACAGGATGATTTTCTATTAAATTTAAATAATTCTATCAGTGATGGTTTCGATAATTTTAACCAAAAGACATACGTATATATATCTAACTAAAATAGTGCGAGACATTTTTTTTTCACGGAAAGCAAACAACAATAATTAATTCGTTTCATTTTTAAATTTCCCAAATAAAGTTGTTAAATACATCGTAGTTAACTAAATCTTAGAGACAACGAATACCTGCACGAGAAGGAAGGCATCAGCGGCGGCAGGAGCGAGGGTCTTCGGTGGTGATGGCTTGAGAACTTTCAGTTCCTCCACGTCGAAGCTCTTGCCACCTTCAGCAACCTCACCACCACCCTCATCCCTTAAAACATCGTCACAGTTACGCTTTTATTTCAAACATTTATAGGGGGAAAGAATAAGTTGCACAAAACTCAATGTTTATTTTAGCTCCTCTACATCAAAGTTTTTGCCACCTTCAGCTACCTCACCACCACCCTCATCCCTTAGAACATCATCACAGTTACGCTTTTACTTCAAACATTTATGGGGGGATAGAATAAGTTGCACAAAACTCAATGTTTACCATGCAATAGTAGAGAAAATAATCCAGAAGAAAATTCATAATGATTGAATAAGAAAATTCATAATGATTGAATAAGAAAATTCATAATGATTGAATAGCACATCACCTGGAAACGCCCACAATCCAAATGATGAATGATCATTTAATATGCACGAAATACTTTATAGTATAACTCAGAATTTGGACTTTAATTTTTAATTATTATTTACCTCTTCTTATCTTCTGCCACCATTCTCTCCATGACGGCACTGACGAGCTGTCTCACTGTGGCAGACGCTGCGTTAGCAACGACTGCATCTTTAGTGAAGTGCAGTCGCAGCGCCACTACAAGGGCCTGGAACATAGAAATACCATGAGAAAATATATCTCAGGTTAAAAAATATTACTCTGGTACCTGAATTTTTCAACAAGGTTAATGCTAACATCTAAATTTTCCTAGTTTGATTCAAAAATTTTACTTGGCATAGAGCCCAAACTAATAGTATTTTTCTGAACACTGTGAAAATTTGATTAGTGTACAACCAATCCATTACCCTCTGCCACAATTCTTATTAGTTGCACTCATTCCTCGGTTTGTTTCACATAACTCAATCCAAGTGTTATGGTAACAACAAAACAGTTTGATGTTACACAATGTTAATCAGTTTGCTATACAACAAAAATTGACCTTTATCTACTCCCAGAGAACACTGTTGATGATATCACAAACCACTGATTAGAAATCATTGTTGTAATGTGTGGTTTGGCAATAAAAAAATACTGGAGTGAAAATATTTTTCCAAATATGGAACAGCATTAATTTCATATTCAACTCAGAGAAGACAACAAAACATTAAAACAATTTCTGAAATATTGAGACCTATTTATTTCAAGTTTATTATCTTCATACACTGACCATTGCCAGATGTTCATCAACAATTGCCTCATTAGTGGTGACCAAAAGTGTTATGGTTTGCAAAACTTTAAGCTCTTCCACCCCAGCTTCCATGAGCAGCCAGAGAGCCTCCACCACCTGACCCCCACAGCTCGACTCGACTACTCCACCTGCAACCACAACTCGCTGGATGATCCCAAGTGACAGCTGTAAGAAGAAAAAAATATACATATATTATCACATTTATTAACAAAGCATGTATATACATTATAGGGCAGGTTTAAGATTAAGAAATTCTGACCAAATAGCTAAATGGATAAAAATTTGTATAAAATTATTCATTTTCTAAGCAATGATTAGCAGCTATATGATAGTAGCATTATTATTAGCAGAAACTAACCTGAACAATTTTAGGGTCCTTGGTGTGAGCGGCTTGTAGTAATGGGTGCAGGACATGAGGTGCCACAGGAGCCAAGGCAGCTGAAGAACTTTTATTGCTGCATGATGATGAAACGCTGCGTAACTGAACCATAGCATCCTCGCAAGACTGTAAAGGGGGAACAGAAATTAGAATTGGGACAGAAAAATTATTTCTTCGAGCTTTCTTCTTTATTATTTCTTTCTATATTATTTCTTTCTACCAATATTATTTCAGACAAAATCATTTTCATCTTTTTATCTTTTCTTCCTATATTTCAGACAAAAAATGTTGCAGAATGAGCATATATATACTACAACTAACACAAGTTCCTTTGTATTGAAATTTCTACAGAAATAATTAACAAACGCCTCATTATATCATAACAATACATTGGTTACAATATTATTAGCATTAGAAAATCACAGGAATATAATATGAAGTCATGGAAAATTACCCAAATTGAATAAATTTGCAGTATAAAAATATTGACAGAGAACCCTATTGGACCTACTGAACCATGCTATCTCTGATGAAAAACTTAATTATCCAACTACAACTGTACCTCCTTTATGTGTGGATATTTCTTCTTAATTTGGAGACACAGAGTCCTAAGATCTGTTTGCAATCCATCAAAGAGTTTGAGGGTGGCTGTACTGTCAGTGGCAGCTGCCTGACCAGTTGTTTTTCCACCTCCAGCTGTCATTCTTGGAAGGTTGTTAATCAAAGCTCTTGACTCACACAAAACCCTTTGCTTTAATATTTATAAATTCTCAACCTTTTTCAAGATAGGCATAGCAAGGCCATAAAATTTTCAATTTTGGGTTCATGAACCAGGATGTATTACAAAATCTGATAAAAATTTACTGACATAGATCTTCACATTTTTCAATGCTAAATCTGCAAACAAGAATTCATTAATTGTGTAAACTGAAGTCTACCTTGCAGAATGGAATTCAAGGCAAATATGGGTGGAACAGTTCTGTCAGAAAGTGATATATTATTAGGTATATCTCCATAATAATATTATCTCTCCATAAATATCAACACAGAGTGAGATTCAACATAATGCCCTATGACATGTTTACCAGGCAAGGCTCTATAAACCATCACTCAGTGAGGGAAGTCAGTTGAGCTCTTGTTAAGCTGTGACAAGTAAATATTTTGGTGAGCACACCTGGCACTACCCTTGTGTCATTACAAACTGTATTGCAATCCCTGGCAATCTGATCTGCACGGACAATTGATAAACTGTTGCTAATAATTACTTCTACCAAGTATGTTAGGTGTAGAATGTATCTGTGCTGCAACTACAGCTTTTCCCTATTTTTGAGACTGCATGATTTCTGCTACATGAATTTTCTCCCTATTGTTAACAAAAGGCGCAATCAAGCAGCAAATTTTCAAATTCAATAAAAATATGTCACTACTGTGAATTAACACCTACTATCCAAGCTGCAATTGGATTTTTAGGCATAAATTTTTCATTTTCAAGCAATGAGTCCATTTTTCAGCTGAAAAATCATTTGCCAAACCCCAATTTCATTTTTCAAGCTGTGCAGACATATTTTGCCAAATATCTTATTTTAGCCTAGAAGTTGTGTTAAATCTTGAATTGTTCTGCAGGATCTACCCAACCTCAGTTTTGGCATTCACAACAAGTTAAACTCTTCTGCTTGATCTGAATCCAAAAGATCTCAATATAATAATTAGTCAGTCATCAAAGATACTGTATACAACTCTGATTTACACTAATTACTTATTGTATTTTACTGAAGTCTTCAAGCTTCCCAAAAGTTGACCATCAAATTAAGTATTGTAGCTTTCAATGTTAAATTTTATCATTGTGAAAATCTATTTCAATTCAAAAGAAGAGCTACTGATGGTAAACTGCTACAAAAATATGCTGCACTACAAATTCAAGGCTAGCAAATAAATATTGGACTACAAAATTATCTAAAATTGGTACATAAATTAGACTAAAAACTACACAATGGCTAACAAATTGTATTTTAAAAATTAAGAAATTTATATCTTGGTGGCACTATTGAACTGAACAGCGACAAAATTTTATAAATTGTCAGATTTTCAGACCATAATATTTCAGATGCAAAAAACCAAAACACGCGATTTTAGAAATACAAATTATCAAAAGGGTATACAGCGGCTGCAGTATAACTAGGAACATAGGAAGTTTCCAATCCCAGCAGTAGCAGCTGCCTGCTGGCTGGCAAGCATCTGCTTTCATCATAAAATGTCTCTTTGATCTTTATAGATAATTTGAATGAAATTCAAAGGGGCAAAGGGCTATCATAAGTGAAAGTGTAAAACTGGCCATCAGTTATCAGTGTCACATCATCACATGTTCTTTAATAATGTATGAAAGTCACCAGAAACCAATTGTTTTGAGTTGGACTGAAAATTTTGTACTGGGGGTGCTGAGGCCGAGCGTGCCAGAGATCCACGCCATGCTCTGGGGGTAGGAAAAAGAGAGATGAAAATTTGTATATACTAAATGTAGACTATACTATACTATAGTACTAAACTTCTATGTACTAAATTTGTATAATTGTATATACTATCATCCACGCTATGCTTTGAGAGCAGAAAAGAAATAGTCCGTATTCAAGATTGCGAGTTTTTTATACCAAGTTGTAATTTGTTTATTTAGTCATACCAATAAATTTATTACATTTCGATTGATAAAAATTATGCTTAGCTTCGGGAGATCTCGCCCTCCCAAAGTCACCGGTACTTCAAACCAGAAAAGGCAATTTATTGAAATCTTTCCTAATGCATCTGCTGTAGATAAGCGAAAATTAACAATAAATACCCTAATTTCCAGCAACAACCGGACTATTTAAGCCTCACTAAAATGAAAGAGAATAAAAGAGAGAGCGAGAGAGAGATTACTTCAAGTCTAAACTACTCAAAATTGGTTTACAACACAAATATGTAGCAGCGAGGTGACATTTCCACGTACAGGGCCACGGCAGCTATCAGCAACAAAAGTTAAAATCTTCCGTCTTTCTGAACCCGAGGGTTGGGCAAATTTTTCCTTCTCTCAGTTCACCGTGTAATGCCTAACAACACAGCCTCAACTGTCGTTCAAATTCGTGCGCTCTACCCGCGGCATGGACAGGTTGACAAAGAGAAATAGTAAGTAACTTAATTAGTTATACCGGATTTCCACTCTGCTAAACAATCTTTTCACCAAATAATATAAGACATGGAATAAGAAACATACCTGGAAGGCTTGCAAGATGCTCTCAGTGGCAGCTTCGTCGGTGCAGGCCTCGAGCAGCGTGCTGAGGGCGGCGAGCAGACCACACCAAGCTGACGTCACCAGCTGACTCAGCACCTCCTCTTCAGCTGGTGCTGCTCCTGACACACCGTCTGCAAAGATGGCACAATGTTACAGTCTCAAAGATGTAAACTTTTTGAAGTTAACTAATTAACTGTGAGACGCAGAACTGAACTTTTTGAAGTTTAGACATGAATCTGAATATGATATTCAGATGATTACCATGATCTTTCCCGTGCTGTTGAAACAGTTTGAAAGTTTGGCATGCAATTATATGGCATTCATAAAGTTAAAACAACATCGTTAATGTACCATCCAATTTTGAACCACGTAATGTAAATGTAAAATTTAGTAAATGTAAATTTAGTAATTTACATCAACGTTTGAGGTTCATTCACTCGTTCCTCTCTCTTAGTCTGAGTCTCATCTCACAGCAATTAAACAGAAAATCTTGAGATTTACAACAAATTTCAGACGAATGTCGCCATAATTAGTACAGCGGCCAATCTCACCACCAGATGGCTAATATTTTCCAGCTTAGCAACGTGTTTACTCAAAAGAAACTGCATTGAAAATTTACAACGAAATTCCAATCAATTCTCGCCATCATTCGTAAAGTTGTGAATATCACCACCATGAGTAGAGCTAGAACTGTTCATCCTAGCAACATGTTCATTCACAAGGAATTAAAAAGAAAACCTTGAAATCAACAGCAAAATTCACAACAAATATCACCATCGTTCGACCAGCAGCAAGCCTCACCACAAGGAATTAAAGACTCTACAATTTACACTAAAATTCCAGGCAATTTTCGCCATGAAATCTACAACGAAATTCACAACAATTATAACCATCGTTCGAACAGTAGCGAGTCTCACCACAAGGAATTGAAAACACTAAAATTTGCACTAAAATTAAAGGCAATTTTTGTCATGGGTCGCACAGCTGAGAGTCTCACCACCAGGTGCAGAGCTGGAACTGTCCAGCTTAGCGACGAGCTCAATCACAAGGAATTAAACAGAAAACCTGTTTAATCTTGAAAATAAAACCTTAAAATCTATAACGAAATTCACAACAAATATCACCGTCGTTCGACCAGAATCAAGTCTCATTACAAGGTCTTGAGGTGATGACTACAATTTACACCAAAATCCCAGGCAATTTTCACCATGGGTCGCACATCTGAGTCTCACCACCAGGAGTAGAGCTGGAACTGTCCAACTTAGCAACGTGTTCCATTAGAACTAATTAAACCGAAAACCTTGACATCAACAAAGAAATTCGCAACAAATATCACCGTCGTTCGACCTGAAGCGAGTCTCATCACAAGGAATTGAGAATTCTACAATTTACTCTAAAATTCCAGGAAATTTTCGTGATGAAATCTACAACAAAATTCAGAACAAATATCACCATCGTTCGAACAGCAGCGAGTTTCATTGCTAAGTCTCACCACAAGGAATTGGGGTGATGACTACAATTTACCCTAAAATCCAAGGCAATTTTCACCATGGGTCGCACAGCTGAGAGCCTCACCACCAGGAGTAGAGCT